CGAAATACGGGGAAGTTTTAAGAAATCAGGTATTCTTTTAATCTAGATAATTTTTTACACTGAATTTTTACTGCTAAAAGAAAGCCAAGTCTATAATTCTTCCATTAAGGAGGGAGTAGGGTCTTTTTTAAAAAAGTATATATGTTTCTGAGTGATTGCTAAGCAATTAAATATGACATTTTTAGTAGGACTTTAGTTGCAAATAGCCAATTTCAGACAGGATTCAAATATTCAAATAAACAGTGCTAGAAATAGACTTGTCTTTCAATTCTGCCCTTTTTTTTTGGTCTCAGTAAAAAGGATGCCATGCAAACAGAACTACAGGAATTTGCTCTAGCCTGGAGGGCTGCAGTAGAGCAGGCCACTGATTGCTGGGTGCTGTGTTGATGTGCATGGCCTATACAGGGCTTGACAAAATGCTTAGTTAGCAAAAACTCATGAATTATATTTCATTAACTTGGAATTCTTTGCTATTTCTTTTCTTTTCTTTCTTTTTTTGAGACAGAGTCTCGCTGTGTTGCCTGGGCTGGAGTGCAGTGGCGCAATCTTGGCTCACTGCAAACTCTGACTCCTGGGTTCAAGCGATTCTCTTGCTTCAGCCTCCCAAGTGGCTGGAATTACAGGCGCCTGCGACCACATCCAGCTGATTTTTGTATTTTTAGTAAAGATGGGGTTTCACTATGTTGGCCAGGATGGTCTTGAGCTCCTGACCTCATGATGCACCCGCCTCAGCCTCCCAAAGTGCTGGGATTACAGGTGTGAGCCACTGTGCCCGGCCTATTCTTTACTCTCTCAACATAACCTGTGAGAAAGTTATCTTTACATTTAATAAAATGGCAAGTAAATTAATAGATGAGTACAGACTGCTTTAAAAAGAACAGATTGTTTAAATGTACTGTTATTCATCTCTACAGTATCACTGAAAACAAACACTGCTTAGGGCAGTGGTTTTATATATGTATGTTTTGATTAATTGATTGACAGAGTCTTTCTCTGTCACCCAGGCTTGGAGTGCAGTGGTGTGATCAGAGCTCACTGCAGCCTCGACCTCCTGGGCTTAAGTGATCCTCCTGCTTCAGCCACCTGAGGAGCTGGGACCACAGGTGTGCACCACCACAACCGGCTAATTACATTTTTTTTTTTAAGAGATAAAATCTCTCTGTGTTGCGCAGGCTTGTGTCTCAAACTCATGGGTTCAAGCAACCCTCCTGCCTCAGCATCCCGAAGTGCTGGGATTATAGGTGTAAGCCATCATGCCCAGCCTTATGTGCTAAATTAACATAATTCTATTTTATTCATTAACTCAGCCTCTTTCAGGCAATGCTCAGTTAGACTTGTATACATTTAACTTTGTTTACTAGAAAGTAAATCATTTATTTAAAAAAATCGCCATGATTAAGATTGCACACCAGGGCCTTGACATGAGTTGCAAATGATTCATTAATAAATGAGTGATTGAGGGAACCTGGCCGGTAGAGAACCAGGATTATTATAGTTTCTCAGAAGACATGGGATAATTTCAGTAAGGAGGAAGTGGTCAGTGAAGTCAAATATACCGAGAAGTTAAAGTAAGTGAGAGTTGATAAAAATCTGTTTGATCTGGCTGGGTGCGGTGGCTCACTCCTGTAATCCCAGCACTTTGGGAGGCCGAGGTGGGTGGATCACAAAGTCAGGAGTTCAAGACCAGCCTGGTCAAGATAGTGAAACCTCTTCTCTACTAAAAAGACAAAAATTAGCTGGGCGCAGTGGTGGACATCTGTAATCCCAGCTACACAGGAGGCTGAAGCAGGAGAATCGCTTGAACCTGGGAGGCAGAGGTTGCAGTGAGCTGAGATTGTGCCACTGCACTCTAGCCTGGGCAACAGAGCAAGACTCTATCTCAAAAAAAAAAAGAAAAAAAAAGAAAGAAAATCTGTTTGATCGGATGAGACAATTTTGACTTTTGTGAAAAAATCAGTAGAATAAAGGAAATGGAAGTGGTTAGAGATACTTAGGAGGGAGAAGAAGATGTGAAGATGTGCCATTGATTTTAGACTGTTCTTTTGGGAAGATGGGCCCTGAATGAAAGACACAAAATCATAGGGACAGTGTAGAAACATAAAACTATCTTGGTTGATGGAGATTTAAAGGGGATGGTAAGAGAATACTATGGGAGACAGGTTTTAAAAGGTTGAATCACTCTGATTTAGATAATTATTAGCTTTGAACTTCATAAGTATTGTTTTACTCCTCCAAACATTATTTTTATTTCTTTGATAATTTATCATATCCTAGAATCTGAGTAAATAATACATTATAAATAATCTCAGTTTTAGGATTAGGCCACACTTGGCTTAGCTGTTGACTTCATGAAAGGTTAAGAATTGGCATAAATGGCTCAAAGGTCAGGATAAGGAATTGAAATGAAACAAAACAATATGGCTATCTTGTGTGGATCAAATGGGCAGACACATCTCTGCATTTAATTCAGAAGAATTGATTTAGAACTCCTCTATTGTCTGCTTCTCTCAGTGATGTAAGTTAACCTAGCATTTGCTGGCTTTAGAGACTTCCCTGCATTCCCAGTATTAATGGTTAAGTTTCAGCTTATACTGCTTCTGAAGATCAGCTTTTAATCTGTGCCCAGTATTCTGAATATTCCTAGCAAACTCATTTTCTGTCATCACTGGCAAGAGCCAGGATTTGGGTGGCCATAAACTATGATGATTATGACTAGGAAGACTCACAAAACATACTACCTGCTTTTGGAAAATAGTCGAGTGCCAGCTGATAGCTGAGATGTGGAAGAACAGCTGATACCTGAGATGTGGAAGTTTCAACTGCTAAAACTGTGGTTGATTAATATACTTGATATGTTTTCAAGAATCAAAGATTAATTCCAAAATGAAATGTTAGATAAGTTCTTTCTGGCTACTAATCTCTGAGGAAATACTGGGACCCCTTCCTGGCGTAAGGAGGCAATGTATACTGAAATGGAAAGGGCTCTTCTGTTGGCAGTCAGGGATAACCCTAAGCAAAATTGTAAAGGAATGGCATTCCTGGAAGTACGTATAGTTTTCCTCTCCTGTGACCTGTTCTCAGAAAAGAATCTGATTAATTCATTCACATTAAGGACTATAATTAGAACTGTATTTTTATGGGGCTTAACGTGTAAACTAAGGGCATTTGCTGTTTACCCAAGGCAGCACCTTCCACTAAAATTTATTGACCACCTACTTTGTTTAGGTCACTCTGGTGATAGGAGGTTTCTGTTCAGCAATTAAGAAATCCTCCTTACCTTGTAGAGTTCAGAGTCTCATTGTCAAAGTTATAACATTCTAATTATGGAACTCTAGGAGTCATTGAGCCAGAATAAGGAAAGGATTTTAGGTATCAGATTCTTGAAATCCCTTTCAGGAAGCAAACATTTATTTTACTTATGGTAAGACTTACCCTGAAGACAGTTGATCCTCATTAAATGGAAATGTTTGAATGCTTTATAAAATTGTTTATATAAATTTAAGGTGAAGTAGAGAAACTAGTAATGTATTTCAAGTCAAGCTTTGCTACTTATATTCTCTCCACACAGATTAGCAAACCCACTGTTCAGACTATTCTGTGTTTAAGTGGTTTTTGTTGTTGTTGTTGTTGTTTTTAATTATTATTTTTTTGAGATGGAGTCTTGCTGTGTCGCGCCGAGGCTGGAGTGCAGTGGCGCCATCTTGGCTCACTGCAGCCTCCACCTCCCAGGTTCAAGCGATTCTCCCGCCTCAGTCTCCCAAGTAGCTGGGGATTATAGGCGCCTGCCACCACTCCTGGCTAATTTTTGGTATTTTTAGTAGATACGGGGTTTCACCATATTGGCCAGGCTGGTCTCGAACTCCTGACCTCAAATGATTCACCCGCCTCTGCCTCCCAAAGTGCTGGGATTACAGGAGTTGAGCCACAGTGCCTGGCCTTAGCTGTTTATTTTGGTCTCAGGTATCTAGAGTCTTACTGTCTTTTTTAATAGCAAATGTTACTATTTATAATGTTGCCATTCAGTATTCTTTGAATTCTCAGGATACTGGTTTGTTAACTTGTAAAGCATCAGAAACCTTTTTATACTTTTAAATTAGTGACTAAGAGTCCCATCCCACCCCTTGGGCCTCCAGCAGAGGTCACCTGGAAGGCAGGACTGGTATATCCTGTTAGCTAAATCCCTGCCCTCTGTATCCTCTAGCAATCCTCCCTGAAATGATTCTACCCTTTTTAATATGGTGGATGTCTTTGATTCAAAGGAATATTTGAGAAAAATGAAGACTCTGTCAGGTAAAAGTACTTATACACAGGAGTTTCTGATTGGGGAAGTATGTATGTATGTATTTCTCGAGATGGAGTCTTGCTCTTGTTGCCCAAGCTGGAGTGCAATGGCACAATCTCGGCTCGCTGCAACCTCCGCCTCCCACGTTCAAGTGATTCTCTTGCCTTAGCCTCCCAAGTAGCTGGGATTACAGGCACCTTCTTCGATGCCTGGTTGTTTTTTTGTAATTTTTGTAGAGACAGGGTTTACCATGTTGGCCAGGCTGGTCTCGAACTCCTGACTTCGGGTGATCCACCCGCCTTGGGCTCCCAAAGTGCTGGGATTACAGGCATGAGCCACCACGCCCAGCCGGAAGTTTGTTTTTTGGACAAGCCATAGTTTTTGTCCTCCAGGATATATCTCTTTCTACTTTTTAAAACTCTGTTTATTTGAATACAAGAAAAAAAATACGATCTTGTTATTTTAGGTAAGCAATGATATGTTTTTGGCCCAGCCATGGCTTTGTGAATAATGTTCACCATTGATAAGACACCTTTTTTGTGGTTTAGAATTGGATATCTGAAGTTGACTCTCCATTGTAAAGAAAAAAGGGGCTGGGACAGTTTTTAAAACAAAGATCTTTTTGTGATTTACCATTTCCTTCTTCCCCACTATGTTTCGTTTTGTTTAAAGTGCCTGCTTGCTACTTTAACATGTTATTTTTCTGTTTCTTTTTCAGATGATTCTTGGAGAAACCCTGTCTGTTTACTGTAACCTTTTGCACTCAAATTCCTTTATCAGGAATAACTACATAGCCACTATTTACAAAGCCATTGGAACCTTTTTATTTGGTGCAGCTGCTAGTCAGTCCCTGACTGACATTGCCAAGTATTCAATAGGCAGACTGCGGCCTCACTTCTTGGATGTTTGTGATCCAGATTGGTCAAAAATCAACTGCAGCGATGGTTACATTGAAAACTACATATGTCGAGGGAATGCAGAAAAAGTTAAGGAAGGCAGGTGAGTGTTAAATCGCTAATGCTTGTTTAATCTTGTATATTCTTGGAATAGAAGGTTTCAGTGACTGGAAGATAAGCCATGCACTGGCTTAAAAAGAGAAGTTAGTGTTATCACTGGGAGGTGAATTTTGATCTTGTTTGAATTGTTCTCTCTCCTCATGCCTTATTCCTTTTTTATTGCTGTCTTCCATTTAAGAGTGTTTTACTGCAGTTCTTTTTTTCATCGCCAGCATATAAGAATGTTAAATGAACCTTATAGATCGTTTAGGGTCAGCAAACTTTTTCTTAAGATGCCAGATAGCAAATGTGTATATATATATACATTTGTGTGTGTGTGTGTGTGTATATATATATATATAATTTTTTTTTTTTTTTACATTTTTATATTATTATTTTGTAGAGACTAGGTCTCACTATGTTGCCCAGGCTAGTGTCAAACTCCTGGGCTCAAGTGGTCCTTCCACCTTGGCCTCCCAAAGTGCTGGGGTGGCAGGCATGAGCCACCACACCCAGCCAATAGTAAATATTTTAGGCTCTGTGGGCCATGTAGTCTCTTTCACAACTATGGAACTCTGCTGTTAATAGCAAGAAAGCAGCCATAGATAATACTTAAATGAATAATGTGGCTATGTTCCAAGAAACTTTACAAAAACAGCGACTGCCCCAGGGTTCATAGTTTGCTGAACCCTGATCTAGTCCCACCATTATTTATGAAGCTCTGCTAGATCTTAGTATTCTTAGATTATTATTATTTTTTAGATTTTTTTTTTTTTAATAAGGTAACTTGGTTCAGATTGTGACAGGTCTGGCTCATCAGGTTGCCATCTTATAACATCCTTATTGGGCTCCTTTTTGCATGCTGGGGCACCATTCGACATGAATGAAAAGAATGTTTAGAACTCAGAAGATCCAACTTTTTAAATTTATAGATGAGGTAAAAATAGAGGACTAAGAACACTAAGTAAAGCCACTAATTAGTAGCAGAGCCAATTCCTCATCTCAAGTTTCAAAATTGTCAGCCTTTTTATATATTAAGTTTAATTTCCTTTAATTGTTCAAAGTACAAATACTTTCTTGGGTAAAACATCCTTTGTTTGATTTTTTTAAGATACGATTTCCAGATAGTTCATTGTCTTTGTTGTTTTTCTTGTAAGCAACGTGGGCCTGCTAGTAGCTTCAATTTTTTTTTTTTTTTTTTTTTTGAGATGGAGTCTTGCTCTGTCACCCAAGCTGGAATGTAGTGGCACCATCTCGGCTCACTGCAGCCTCCGCCTCCCGGGTTCAAGTGATTGTCCTGCCTCAGCCTCCTGAGTAGCTGGGACTACAGGCACGTGCCACCATGCCCTGCTAATTTTTGTATTTTTAGTAGAGATGGGATTTTACCATGTTTTCCAGGCTGGTCTCAAACTCCTGACCTTAGGTGATCTGCCTGCCTTGGGCTTCCAAAGTGCAGAAATTACAGGCATGAGCCATGGTGCCCAGCCAGTAGCTTCAATTTTTTGTATTTAGTGGGGATGAAAAAAAATCTTATTTAACTAGAGTATATACTATGCTATTTGCTTAGGGGTTAGCAGTGAACCAGACATCTCTGGTCCCCATCTTCATGGACCTTAGTCTGACAAGGAAGATTTACATTAAACAAATGATGAGAATGGAAGAGAACTTGCTTGATGATAATGAGGTCAAAGAAGAGAAAGATCAAGCTGTTAAATGGCAAGCTTTGAGATGTTGAGGAGGACTGATATGGGTGTAAAGTCTTAATGAAGGAGGGAAAAGTGACTGAAGAGATAGACAGTTGAGAAATAGTTGGTAGAAGGTGATATTGTTGATTTGAGCTCAGGTGAACAAGCATTTTTGTAAGAGGGGTAGAGGAAGCATGGTCCAGAAATGACTTTGATGAATGAAGAAAACACCAACATCAATATTGGACTCGTAAGGTATATGGGCTATGGAGATCTCATTCCCTGCAGGGGCGAGCAGTATCCTAGGGAAAGCTTCTTTGATTGAATGACTAGAAGGTACAGAGAGCCTTCAGGGAACAGTTTGGAGACACAGAGAAAGATAGAGGAATTTAACAGTAGAGCCAGAATTCTAGAGTGTTCAGTGGAGGAGTAGGAACAGAGGGGATGAACAAATGCCTTGGGTGGAGGAGAGGAAGCCTATTGAAAATGAGACTGAAATTTAGAACAAATTATAAAGAAGAACAAATGGCTGGGTAAAAACATACCATGTAAAACAAAATCTGATACAAGCTTATCCGACCTGTGGCCCACATGTGACCCAGGATGGCTTTGAGACAGAGACACAAATTCGTAAACTTTCTTAAAACATTATGATTTTTGTTTGTTTGTTTATCATCAGCTATTGTTAGTGCATTTTATGCTTGGCCGAAGACGGTTCTTCTTCCAGTATGCTGCAGGGAAGCCAAAAGATTGGACACCCCAATTTAATAGAATAAAATTATCATGATTTCTTCTTCCATCTATAGCTTAACCATATAGCCTTTTAAAAATGCCATTCCTGTTTATGAATGCAATGACAAAACCGGCTATAGGATTACAGCTGGCATGGTGGCTCATGCCTGCAATCCCAGCACTTTGGGAGGCAGAGGTGGGCAGATCACTTGACATCAAGAGTTCAAGACCAGTCTGGCCAACATGGTGAAACCCCGTCTCTACTAAAAATACAAAAAGTAGACAGGCATGGTGGCTGCATGCCTGTAATCCCAGCTACTCGGGAGGCTGAGGCAGGAGAATCGCTTGAACCCGGGAGAGGAAGTTGCAGTGAGCCAAGATAATGCCACTGCACTCCATCCTGGGCAACAGAGCAAGACTCCGTCTCAAGAAAAAAAAAAAAATCTGTGCCTTCACAGATCTAGCTTTAGGGCTGAGGCAGGAGAATTGCTTGAAGCCGGGAGGCAGAGGTTGCAGTGAGCAGAGATTGCGCCACTGCACTCCAGCCTGTGTGACAGGGTGAGACTCCATCTCAAACAACAACAACAACAACAACAACAATAAAAAACCACCCCCCCACACACAAAAAAACACTTATAGGATTTAAATCACAAAGGAAAAAATAGAATAGATACTAGTTGAACTACTCTTTTAAATAGCTTTTTTGAGGTATAATTCACATAACATAAAATTTGGCCATTTTAAGTGTACAATTGAATAAACCGAATAAATTGTATTCGTAAAGTTATTTACCGGTACAGTCAAGTTTTCAGATATTTGAAAAGCTTGTCCCTGAGTGTTTACAGTCAATTCACACTCCCATCTGCAAACCCAGGGTCAAGTTTCTGCCCCTATAGTTTTGTGTTTTCTAGAATATTATCTAAAAGGAATCATACAGTGAGTACTTTGTTGTGTCTGCCTTCTTTCATTTAACATGTTAGTTTTGCAATTCATCCATGCTGTTCCTTTTTCTCCCCCCTGAGGTATATTCGATTGTATGGATATAACACAGTTTACTTATCCATTCATACAAATATTGATGGACATTTGGGTTGCCTCCAAGTTTTGGCTTTTAAAAATAAAGCTGTTTTGGCCAGGTGCAGTGGCTCACGCCTGTAATGCCAGCACTTTGGGAGGCCAAGGCTGGGTTGATCACTTGAGGTCAGGATTTCAAGACCAGCCTGGCCAACATGGTGAAACCCTGTCTCTACTAAAAATACAGAAATTAGCCAGGTGTGGTGGTACACACCTGTAATCCCAGCTACTCGGGAGGCTGAGAGGCTGAGGCACAAGAATCACTTGAACCTGTGAGGTGGACGTTGCAGTTAGCCCAGATTGTGCCAGCCTGGGCGACAGAACAAGAAGACTCTCAAAAAAAAGAAAAAAAGCAAAAAACAAAAAAGATGTTCTGAACATTATGTACCAGTACAGTAATATATACTTTTATTTTTCTTGAACAAATATCTAGGAGTAGAAGTGCTGGACTATATAGCATGTGTGTAGTTACTGTTCTAAGAAACTGCCAATCTTTTACACAGTGGTTGTACCATTTTGCATTCTCTCCAACAATGCATGAGAATCCCAGTTAACTTCACATCCTTGCCATTATTTGTTAATGGCCAGTCTTTGTTAATTTAGCCATTCTAGAGGTTTTTGTTACGGTGTCTCAGTGTGGTTTTAATTTGTATTTCCTTAATGACCAGTGTTGCTGAACATCTTCTCGTGTGTTTGTCCATTCAGCTATTGTCATTTTTGAAATGTTAACTCTTTTACCCATTAAAAAAAAAAAAATGAGTTGCTTGCCTGAGTTGTAAGAGTTCTTTATATATTCTGAATAGAAGTCCTTTGTTAGATATATGTTTTGAAAATATTTTCTCTCAATCTGTGGCTTGCTATTTATTTTCTTATTTATTTATTTGTTTGTTTGTTTGTTCGTTTGTTTGAGGGACAGGGTCTTGCTTTGTTTGTTGTCCAGGCTGTTTTTGAACTCCTGTGCTCAAGCGACCCTCTTGCCTTGGCCTTCCAAAGCCAAAGTGCTGGGATTATAAGCATGAGCCACCATGCCTAATCAACTTTTTCTTTTCTTTCTTTTTTTTTTTTTTTTTTTTTGAGATGGAGTCTCACTCTGTTACCTAGGCTGGAGTGCAGTGGCACAATCTTGACTCACTGCAACCTCATGCCTCAGCCTCTTGAGTAGCTGAGATTACAGGTGTGTGCCACCACGCCCAGCTACTTTGTGTATTTTTAGTAGAGATGAGTTTCACCATGTTGGCCAGGCTGGTCTTGAACTCCTGACCTCAAGTGATCTCACCTCACCCTCCCAAAGTGCTAGGATTACACACGTCAGCCACTGCTCCTGGCCCAACTTTTTCTTTTTCTTTTTTATCTTACTTTAAGTTCTAGGATACAGGTGCAGAACGTGCAAGTTTGTTACATAGGTATATATGTGCCATGGTGGTTTGCTGCACCTATCAACCCGTTCATCTAGTTTTTAAGCCACACATGCATTAGGTGTTTGTCCTAATGCTCTCCCCCGACCTAACCCTGC